TAATGGATTATTGTTAAATCAGATGTATTAAGTAGATACTCAGTGTTGATCACTTCTAACAAAGTTTAGATGATAGCTGCTAATTCAAGTTATCAATGGTTGATCAAAACCAAATATCAGTGGTTTTCCCTACTCCCCCGGAAAACTGACTATATAGCTAACTGTTGGCTAGCATCTGATGTCAAGCTAATAGCTAATTAGCATTACCTTTGACAAAGAGACTAAGAGGACAAAAAAAATCAAACAAAAAAAATATTGACACATCCAATAATAAAACAAATGAAATTTTAGCAATTTGCTAATGCTAGCACTCATGCTAGCATTAGCCAACATCGACGAGACAAAGACTAAAAGTTAAAATTGGTCCATAAAACTAAACAAAGAATCTCCACGACTTGAACATCTGACCAAACAGTTTTCTCCTCATAGTCAATTTCCTAACAGGCTAGCGAGGCTCTAATAGATAAAACTGGGTTTCTTTTAACTAATGATAGCCGACATGCTAATAGTAGCCTACAAATTGTTTGCTAACCATAGTAGCAGTTAGCTGGCTACCTCTCTAATTTTATCTCTTGACAAATAAAAAAATAAAGTAATAAAAGAAACGTGGCTGTTTTTCGTGTGACATGTATACGGCTCTTATGTGTCTGAAGTTAAAGTTTGTTTGCAATTCTTTGTTTTTCTTGATTGGAGACAAACAAACAAACAAAGGGAAAATGAGCAGACTTAACACTGCTTTTCTTTCAAGTTTTAAACTGGTTTTAAACTGGTTCAGCTATATCATCATTATAGCTTTCCTAAACATCCTTTTTTTCATTTCATTTCTAAACACGTGTACATTGGTTTTTAAATTGGACGTTTGTTAAAGTGAGTTTCTCTCTTTGTCAAACAGGCAACCAGTGACGAAAAATACATTCAGACAGTACAGAGTTTTAGGAAAAGGTGGTTTTGGAGAGGTGAGTACTGAAAGTTTTTGTTACTTTAATTATAATGTGTTATGTTGCCACAATGTCATTAAAACAGTCTTTCTTGAGCAGCTACAGTATATACAGGTAAAGTTACCTGAGTTAAAAGTTCAGAGGCTCTGCCCTCATTTGAGGTCAGTGAAGATTTGAATGGAAAGTTATGCATTGGTAAGTCAGAAAGTTCTAGACTTTAAGACATGTTTTTATTGGATTTAATCTCAACCGTTAAGAAATCAGAGGCTGTAGATGAGTTTGTGGGTCCTAACACTGGCCAAAGAAACAGAGGGCAGAAGGAAAAACTGTCAGTTACGTTCCAGTCATTAGATTCAGAGAAATGGGTGCTCAGGCTGTTTCACTGAGGTCAGACTAAAACAAATGCCTTGAAACCTTTACACGGTCTAATCGTGCAGAGGAGTTCAGTGTTCCCTGAAATGAAGGACTTTATCGGAGGCATCTAAATCCTGTTACACACCACTGAATGGTGTCTCTGTGCCCTCTGTTCGTCTAATGAGACGAGTCTTTTTTAATTCCAAACACTGATAGCTGATTAGGCGTATACGCATCAGGTCATGAGATAACAAGTCAGGGTCAGTTTTGTCGGTTCAGATCACGGTGAGTCGAATTTACTGGAACCACAAGGAAGGTCGTGGTGAGGAGAAAACAGGGGACACCTTTAAGTGATACACAAAGGCAATTCGGATTGCTAACATTTTCTGACCATCTTTGACCTGCATGAGGGGCTCTGGGGTCGTTCAGTGCCTCCCATCTGACCCCCTCAGAGTCAGCTGAATGCTTTTGTACAGTAACTTCAGTATATTTAATGAAACCATGCAAATCTTACCTCCAGGCTCAGAGGATGATCTGAGCACTGATACTACCAGACGGAGGAGGACGCTGCACTGAACACAGCTGGAGGTTCTCCTCTGAAGTTTGTGCAAGTTAATAAAAGGGACA